TAATAAAATGTTTAAAAAATAAAATAAAATACCAAAAAAAAGATACAATAATAATTTATAAATTATCAAGGGTACATGGAGAGGGGAGGAGGAAGGGAGGGGGAGGGGAAAAAAGGAAAATGAGCTGATTCCGGGAACCCAAGAGGCAAGCGAATTTTGGGAATAATGAGGACAACAAATGTATCGATATGCTTTACACAATTGATCTATGTATTGTGATGAATTGTCTGAGCCTCAATAAATTGATTTTAAAAAACAAACAAACAAAAAAGAGTTGTATGAGCCCCTAATAAAATGATTAAAAAATAAAAAAGAGTCTTAGAAGACCAATCTGTTAATGCGAAGGATGGAACCGCGGAGGAGAGAAAAGACACAGCTCAGTTCGGTGTGGACTCGGGTCAGGAATGCCGAGGGCACAGAGGACTGGAGCAGTAAGCACAGGAGACAACAGACCCCAGAGGCACAGGATCAGGGTCGGTGAGAAAGGAAAGCCCCCAGGAGATGGATTGATACAGTGGCTGCAGCAGCGGGCTCACACGGCACAGCAGTTGTGGGGATGGGCACAAGCTCCGATCTGTGTTGGGTGGTGCCTAGCCGCACCTAGCCGCAACCATCACAATCACTGTGAGGCTGGTAGTTCTCTTCACTGTACAAACAAGGACACTGAGAGTCCCAAGAGATGAAGTGACTTGACCCCCCAGTTACCCATAAGTGGTTGAGGGGCTTTAGGACCCAGAGACCCGCAGCCCATGCTCCTCATGCCTGCACCATCCTGCGAGGAGGACAGGGCTCAAGTGGCCCCCAGTTTTAGAGCCACGAGTGTGCTTGAGTGCCCATGAACCTTGATGAAGCACCGACTATACACCAAGTATTTCTTGTGAGTGCTTTTACTCTGCAGTGTGAATCGGCACCATCCCGCCAGCAATTCCTGCTCTGAGAACCTATATTGAGCAGTCCTTCATTCAAAAGCTGCTCGAATGCGGAACATTAAGACAGATACTGCCCACTGTTAAATTTAGGGAGCTAGTTCACTGATGATGTCTCTGTTGTCATTGTTCACCACCAACAGCAGGCGTGATTGATAGGGATGATATTTTTCCCCCCCCCGCAATGGAAATCTTGTTACGAGGGGAGGGTTTAACTTTGACGTGTGGAAGGACCGTCCTCGTACGGATCACTAAGCCACTGAACGTTTGTTTCCGAAGTCCTCGCCTCCAGCTTGGTGTACAGCATCTCGGACGGTCAGTTCACAAGTCGTGCCGATCTCATCGATGCCCCTGGAAGCTCGCTGGGACGTGGCGCTCTGGTGCCAGGATTGGGTAAGGAACGAATGCATGCATTTCCTTGGAAAATTCAACCTTGTAGCAATTTCTTGTGAAAATTGTTTGCCAATTTCCCTTGGCATCCTAGTTTCTTTGAAATCCTGTCTTTCTTCTTCTTTTTTTAATCTACTGCTGTTTAATTTTTTTGAGCATCCATATAAGAAATTGCCATATGTGAAATTCCTCCAGAGAAAGTGCTTTTGAAGCAATTGTGCATGGTGTGGTGTGATGACAACACTAACAAATTCTTCTCGAAGTACATACCAGAAAAAAAAACAACTTTATTTCTTCTGAGGACCTGGCGTTCTTCTGATTGTTAGACTATTAAGTATTGGAATTTTTTTTTTTTTGCCTTTTTCTTTAGCTGCTAGGAAACTCATATTTATGTTTTGGACTCAGATACTAAAACTTTCATTGTGTGTTGTTAGCTTGTCCTATGGAGCTTGAAGCTTTTTGGAGTGGGTGTTTTAACGTTTTGTGATTTGTGTGAAGAGGTACAGAATAAGTCTGTTTCTCGTTCAACAATTCATACACATTTTGTTTCATGCCTTGATTGCAATCCCCACAATGGGACATCATTTATTTCCACTCCTTTCTCTCTTTTGCCGTTTTTTTTAACAATGCCATCCCATCATGCCTTCTGAACTTTGCCGTTGGGCAAAGCTGTCTTTTAGGTCAGGCATGGTTGATCTAAGGAGTGCCTCTAACCCTAATGTTATTGTTCATAGAACAGACCTGCCTATTGCTTGGTTGAAAGGTGAGCCCACGGGGTGAGTTCCGTTCTAGTTCTGATCAATGACTAAGGGCCGTAGCCTTAGGGATTCCACCCGTCTCTAGTTGACCAGTGAACCTGGCCTTTTTTCTGATTTCCTCCCCCTCTACCCAGGGCCTTCTAATGTGATCACTTTCAGAGTAGCTGGGCACCGTCTAATTCCGCTGCTCTCATGGTCAGTGGAGGCTGAAGCTCACGTGGCCTATTAGTCCTTGGAGCTAATTGTTTCGAGGAATCTTTGATTTTCTCCTTGCTGTGGACAGGGAGAGACCGACAGGGCATCTTAGATGGCTGCGCATACGCTTCCAAGGCCTTAGTCACTGCTCTTCCAAAGTAGGCCTAGACCTTTGTTGCATGGACTGTGTTATACCCACGGACCTGGATGCTCCCCCAGACTACGATCAGGAGTCCTTGTGCCTGTTTTTGTTTTCCATATCAGCCGCTAGGTGTTGTTTGGAAGCACAGCAGGTGTGATGAATCAGTGCTTCTAGGGGCTTTGCTCAGTTCTGGATGGGGAGTTACGCAAACAGAAGCGGGAAACCTGGTTTGTTGCTGCTGATTCCCGAGCAAGCACATTTCCAGGGAAACTGGCGGGAGGGGGGATGTGAGTGTCAGTACTTTGGTCTTGAACCATGCTTGAGAGCACTCTGGATCCCGGGCGGTGGAGAAGGGACGTTTAACGCAGTGTGCTCTTTTCCAGGCGCCTGCTATGATACCGTGAACAACATGCTGTGGACATGCTCCAATGACTACATCGATCAGTGGTGTAATCCTGGAAACCAAGCCTTCCATTACGTCTGTCAGAGACTGGGGGTCAGTCACATCATCACTGAGCCCAAAGGTGAGCTACATGCAATAGTCTTGAAGGGCGAGGTTTCCCTCCGAAACAGGAGCGGGTACCGCAGCGTTCTTAAGTGGTACTGTGGGCCAAGTTACAAAATCAACAGAATTCCCCTCTTAAACTTTGAAAGCCACAGTACGCTATTATCTATAATCCTAAAAGCTTGGGTTATAAATAAATGGAACTTTTGAGAGGGTATATAGACTCCCCCCACCCCCATAACTTTGTATTGTGAATTAGGTAGGGGGAGACTCTTTTATTTTGAAAGAAAATGGACTCATTCCCCCTGACATTGTCAGAAGTTTGTTGCAAAAATGGTTTCTTCATTTGCACTTAGAGTGGGATTATATACTTTTGCGATGTTTTTACGTTGCTAATGGCCGATTTGCACACAAAATTTAAATTATATTATTATTGAGGGTCCCTTATATTTTAAATATTGCTATTGGGACACGTCCACTGCCATCAATCTGATCCTGACTCATGGTGAGCCTCTATCGGATTTCCGAGGCCGTCAATCTGTACAAAAGCAGATGCCGCATCTTTCCTCTCTGTGGGGCAGCTGGTGGCTTTGAACTGCTGACCTTTTAGTTAGCAGTCCAACACGTACCTGAGAGCACCTGGACATAGGGATGCGCTGAGTGGAAGCCACTCGATGGCAGTGAGCATTTGAGTTCGATTCAGTCTGAAGTTAGGAGCATGAAACTCCTGGCTCGCAAATAAGACTGGCATCAAAGACGATCTCCAGGGAAGTCAGGAAACATTTTGAAGGGAATGAAAACCCAAACACACCCTGCCAGCATGGGCAGCCCTCAGAGCAGCGTTAATGCCAGTGCACGTTTAGAAGATGCCTTGCAGGTCAAGCAGCGGCCCACTGTGTATGGACTGTGAAAGGTAGACAGGGGCCGGGTGTCTCCAGATGGAGTGGCAGCGATGGAGCCCAGGCACTGTGTCCCAGTGCCTGGGCGCCTTTTGTAAGTCAGAGGGCTGTTCCTTAGGGAGCTCCCTGCACAGATGTCTTTCCTCACCGCCTTTCCTTTTCCTCTTGTAGAAGAGGCTATAACCACAAACGAGGTTATAAACCAATTATTGCACCATGTTGGTGCGATGTGCATACACCAACTCAGTCTCCTGGCTACCAACCCCAATCTTCCAATCACAAGTGTCTTGGGCAAGCAGCATCCGATCGAAGCACACCACCTTAGCAGTATTTGCGACATCATGGAGAAGGCCATGGTCAACGGAGATACCTGTATTATACGCTGTATTCTTGTGGTCTTTCAGGTAAACACACGGCTTTGAGACAAGTAAGATAATAAAGACAAAGAAATACAACCCTTGGCTTTGTCCAGTGAATTTCTTTCTACCGGAAGGAAACGTTACATTTCTGCTCTGTATCTCACCATGTTCTAATCCGTCATTAGAATTCTCTTCATAGTCCTCGCATGGCAGTTGATGGCCTATCGCCATATATAGCTCATTGCAATGAATGCATGTGAAATGTTTAATTATTGCCCAATAGATGTGATTATGATTAAAAAATCCGCTCCCGCCCCCCCCATGGGTACTTACTCATAAGAACGCTTCTCATGACTTCCTTCCTAAAGGGCACTTCACCTGCAGTCGAATCAGCAGCTTCAGATGGATGACCCTTGTGTTTTGTAGGTGGTGTTCAAGTTTTTCTTCAGCCCACAAACGGAAAGGAATCGTGACATCGTTCGACGGTCAGGGTTGCTTCTCTGGCAGTTGTTGATGGCACCCAAAGATCAAATTTGCCTTGAGATTCAGAAGGAAGTCTGCCTCGCTATCAGGTAAACCGCGAACAATGGCAGTTGTGCTCTGCCACACTCTGCTCGGAGATGCGCTGGAATCTTCCTTGCAAGCTGTGTAGCGTAGCTGCTGCTCGCCCTCCTAGCGCTGAGGGCCTAGTTACGGGAGATCATCTGATTTCCAACAAGAGCTCTTCTCACTTGGGAGAGAGTGTGGGAGAGTGGAGCCAACAGGCTTGGCCCTTAGTCTTTGCTCTGTGACTGCTTAGCTGTGACCTCTGTGTCTCAGCTGTCAATTGGGCACAAAATAATGCCTATTCTGGGGGTTTTAAGTACTCCTGTGTGGGTTGCTAACCGCAAGGCCAGCAGTTCAAAACCACTAGCCGATCCTTGGGAGAAAGATGGGGCTTTATACCCCCATAGAGTTACACATTCTCAGAATCTCTTAGGGGGAAGTTCTACCCTGCCTTGGCAGTGAGTGTGGTCTTGGTGTTCGTGGGTTTTAGTAAGATAGGCCAGATACAAACTAAGTATGTGAGCCTTTCTCGTGCTCCCTCTCCTTGGACTCTTAAGTTCATTTCCAGAGCTGTGTCTGTGGCAGCACCTTGTCACTTAGCAATAAAAAACCCCAAACACGGGGAAGTTGAGCGTCAGACAGGCTCCTCTTCAGAAGCGTTCTGGCGCAGTCTGCACGTACAGCTGACTGGACTGTGTTGCCAGCCAGTTCTCGTCGGCCAGGTCTCCCGCCAGCCTCAGGTGGCAGGGCACAGAGTAGGGATGCATTTGTTGGTGTCACATCTGTGGACGTCTGTCCCAGGCCTTTTCCGTCACAAAATGTACCCCACAGTTGTATATGCCCAAGCCGACATTGTCAGCACAAAGAGCAATTGTAAATATTTAGGATTCAACTTTTCTAGAATGTGTGTCTTAAAAGCTTTTTCCCTTGCTGTCATTTCAGCTCTGGTTTAAATATCTTATACCCCGGGGAGATGGAAATCAATAACTTACTGAAGCTGGTCTTAACAGAAGGTGAGAAGGAGCTAGCACTCTTCCTACATACAGTGTGTGTGGGCGTGGACAGGGTTGAACTCTTGACTACCAGCCCAAAGGTTGGCAGTTCCAGTTCGCCCCAGGCCCTCGAAGGTCAGGTTCGGCGATCTCCCTCGGGAAGGGCACAGTCCTGGGGGTCCTGGAGAGCAGTCCTGTCCTGCACACACGGAGTCGCCGTGAGTCAGGATCGGCTCGATGTGGACTAATAACCGCCAGCCCACAGGGAAATAACAGGCTGTTCAGATGGCAGGTCCTTGTCCTCAGCTCTGTTCATCAGCATTGTGTCAATGTGTCTGCATTCTGTCAACACCGCAACCATACTGAGAGCAGAGACCATGTTTGCTTTGTCTTCAAGCTATATCAGCCTCTTTCTATCCCAGTTGAAGGTACAAGGGGGCTAAAACACTCCGTTCTCTTTTCAAACATTGCATTTTCCACCAAGAGATACTGGCTTCACTGTGTGATCCAAGGATTGCAGCTAATACAATCCAGATCTAAAGGAGGGAATGGCATCAGAGCTTAAGTTTTGAACACGTGTGCAGAAGGCTATGGCTGAAACCGGAAGCCCAACATCCATTTGCAGGGTCCATGCATGGATTAAGCCACCAGCGATTCCCCTCTGTAATAGTTGATGGATGTTAATAGCCTTGTTCTCAGACAGAGGGCATTGTAAAGTCGACCATGGCAGACTAGTTAGGTCAAAATGTAACATTGTATCAGTTGATTGCCCTTTTGACCCATTTTAAAGCGATTTCAGTCAAAGAAAAAGTGAAGGGGAAATACAAAATCTCCTCTGACCAAGGATCAGGGATGTGAGTAGCCTTGCCTGCATACAGAATGCACTGGAAAGTTGGTCGTTACAGATGCAGTTAGGTTAAAAATGAGCACCTTATCATTTGATGTCCCTTAGGATCCATTGAAATTTGTTCTAGTTTTTAATATTCTCTGCTTTCTTTTCAATTGAAGTTTTGCTTTGTTATTCTTGTTGTTTTTCTTTTGTTTCTTAATGTTTTCTGTATATGGCATCTAGGATAGGCAAGACTCTTCAGCGCCAGTAACTGGATGAATGCTTCCTTTGGTGGTAGGCAGGGGAGGGGGCATTTGGAGCTATTAATGATGAGTACAAGAATGAAGATGTTCTCAAAACGGATTCTGGTGATGATTGTACAGGTCCTCTCGATGTGCTTGAGCTATTGTACGATAAGTGAATTACAGGCCAATAAAACAGTGGAAAAGAGAGAGAGAGAGATGCAGGCTTGGAACCTCGGATCTCTTGTGATGTGTGCCTGGTGCTCCTAGATAAACCCTGTTGGCATCCTGCTTGTTTAGAAACTTAACAATAGCATCCGCTCTCCAAATGCAGTGGGCAGGGTGGCTCACGGCACTTTGTTCTCCGCCGTCAGGAGAGAGAAACAGTGGCCTTGCCCAGCTCCGGGACGTGATCCTCACCAATTTGGCGGAACAGCTGCAGAACAACCGGTTTGGCAGCGATGAAGATGACCATTACAGGTGACCGAGTTACCGTCTTCGCACCCAGCCCGTTTTTCAGTGTTTTTTTAAGTAAGGAATGTACACGTAATTGTGCTTGTTCAAATTCAGTCTCCTGTCATATCCAGCACGATGATCAGCATGTGAATACCATGCATCAGTTGAAAGATCATAAGTGCCACCATTAACCTAAGAAGTGATCATTGACCACTTCAGTTTTAATCCGTCAAGCAATCGGGCATGGGGGAAAGGCAGAAGGAATGGATGGAGCGTATCTGGGAAATTTTGGAGAAGGCGTCCATCCAAACCACTGTAGTGCTGAGAGTGGGAATCCTTGGACGAGGTGGTTGGGTGCCATCTTGTTTCCATGTGGTTGACCTCCATAATAGACCTTCCTGTTAGCATCGTCATAAGTCGGGGGGTTTGCTTGCAGTGCCAATTAAGTTTGTATCTTTTGATTGGTCATTTAGTAGCAGTTATGTACCATTTGCCCGCTCACTAATAAGCTATCAACATTTTATTGTTACATTTTCCCCGACCTTTAAAGACTAAATGATGAGCTTTTACACTACATTCTGAAGATCGTCGTTCGAGAATCCTGTATCTTAATCACCAAGTGCCAAACGGTCTCTAAAGATGGTTTTCAGAAGCTTCTTTCAACTGTGCCTGTAAGTAACAAAATGCATTTCATGAGGGAGAAATTATACCACGCACCCCTCTCTTCACTGTACAGTACTGAGGTGCGGGTGTGTGCGCGCACACATGGCCACACTATTCTCCAGGGCAGACTGCAGGTCATTTAGGAAAGCCAGAGCTGGAAATGCAGCATAGTATGAGATTTCCCATCAAGTGTCGGACACGATCTGAGTCTTTTCATTGTAATTTATTTAGCAGAGATTTTTTCCCTTTCTCCTTATTGATTTTTAATTTAGCACTGTTTCCTAAACCAGTGGGGCTTTACACAGATTGATAGGAACAAGGGTCCGGGTAGTGTCCTTCTTAATGGAGAAGCCGGTGAGGGGAAGCAGAACTATTAAGAGACAAAAATTCCAGTCAGTAAAAAATTCAACATAAACAAATTCCAGTAAGTCTCCTGAATGATTAGTGAGGATTGTACAGCAAACGTGGGGGGATTGTGTCCAGTGCGGGAGCCATGTGGCAGCCAGTCACTTGAGAAACTAACTTGATCTGTCTTCTGCACTTTCTCTTTGTTGTTTCCCTTGTTGGAAAACCCAAGGATGGCATGATCCTCCTTGCAGTCGGGTCTAGATCGTTTAAATGCCCTTATTTGTATTAAAGGCTGCCTCCGCCTGCCTGCGCTACCTGATGGCAGTCCAGAACCACCTTCTCAGTAACACTATTTTGATTAAACCCGATGAGAACGATGACAGTGACAACTCCTTGCAGGGCGAGACATTGAAGGTACAGGTAAACACCGAGCTTTATTCGAGCGATGTGCTCTACCCGGCGCGTACAACCCGAGTACCCGGCTGTGTGTGTGTGTGTGTGTGTGTGTGTGTGTGTGTGTGTGTGTGACGATGTCAGATTTCACCGTGTGCCTCTACGGCTGTGCGAGGCAGTAGTAGTCGCCCGCTCCATAGACGTTTATGTTCCTGCACAATAGTCACCCTGCCTGTGACTCTCATAATGCCTCATCCTTGTGCCAACTGTTCTGTGCCCTTGTTCATTTGTATATCCGTTCAAGAACTATAGCATCAGCGGCGCCACATACACCTGAAAGTGCATATGTGCGTCTAGATGGGCAGATACGCACCTATACACAGTGACATACTCATTTGGAAAGCCTTTGATGTTTTGGACGGTCGATTGTACTCTCTCGATTCAAGCTAGCTGCAAAAAGATGACGGTTTTGTCAGTTTCTTTGCTAGTGATTTAGTTTTTCAACTGATAGCTGCTTTCATTTATTTTTTTAATTAGCTTCTTTGTAAGCGCAGTCGTTTATTCCCAGGCCAGAGCTTGCTTTATTTATTTTTAAATAGCAATGGGGTTATAATTTCAACAGGTGCGCAGAGTGTTGTTCGCACGGTTCTTCAGGTGTTCGTCGTTGTGGGAGCGCTCGGGAAAGCACTTGGGGGGTTAGTCTGCGTTGCAGGGACTCACAACGACTGGAACACATGGAGCAGGGAGAGGAGAAGACAGCTCTAGCCCAAAAGAACAAGCCATGACAGTTTCCCCCTTCCTACTCTTTTATCCTAAGTCCACTGCAATTCCCAGGCCTGCTAGCGTGTATGTATTCCTGATAATCAGTCCGTGTGGTTTAGCCCATCTGATCCATTTTGTAAATGAACAGAACTGTATGCCTCCTTCATTTAAATGGCTGATACTATTTATTTGAACTTATCTTGCCCTAGTTTGCTAATCAGTAAAAAGGGACAGTAGCATCTCCCTTATCAGGTTGCTGGGAGAATTAGAGACGAGGTATGTAAAATCCCCGGCACTGCACTGATGCGTGGGACAGAAGCCAAAGCCAAGAGCAGAGACTCCTGCTGCGACTTCTTCAGGACTCAGCTCGGCGTGCCTTCCCATAAGGATCAAAATAGCAACACCAGCCCTCAAAGAACCAGACCACTCCACCAGTGAAAAGGAAGAGGCCAAATCGAACAGGATCCTCCCTAAGCCGCGAGAGAAAGAGGCCAGGTTCTCAGTAAAGGCAGGCTAGGTTTGGCTGTCTAATAGTTCAGGGAGAAATCAGAAGCACGCAGATGTCACCCAGAGGGTGAGTTGGATTGCGTGTTTTGAAAAACAGCAAACAAGTGGGAACTCCTTATTTCTAGGATCGTTCATTTCTTAGCACATGCTTTCATAGCTGCACGCCCACGCATCCTCTAGTCGTGCACCGTGATGTTTGAGGGCCTCTAACTGCTTCCTCCTGGAACTGACGAGACTTCTCCAACGAGGCCTGTCTTCCGACGTGATGGATGCGAGGCATTCAGAGAGAAGGGCACCTGTACTGTTGCAGAATGTTGTGTTTTTGTCTCATTTTATTTCACCGCCTACTCATGCGCCTTTTACTGTTCTGTTTTTCTCTTTAGCGAACCTCATCCCACCCAAGGCAGTCTTCCACCTGGGCAGTTCCTGGGCTGGCCGCCAGGGGCTCTCCTGTGCTGGAGGGGATGGGCGGAGGCGACTCTCCCCTGGGGACTCTGTGTGCTCCCTGTGAAACAGGCAGAGTAGCCTCCCAAAGCAAATGGCCACCCGACACCCGAGCAGAGTTGACTGCTTTGAGCCCATCTTGGCCCCCTCACCGCTTAATTTGGAAACACATCACTAAAGACACCATTTCACGTTGTCATTGTGAGTGCATGCCCCTTGGCCCGGCTTTCAAAAACACTAACCCCGTGGTATTTTCTGCCTAGGAGCTCAAGGCCAGTATTTTGGCTCTGGCCACCCAGATCCTGACCGGCTGTGATGAAGTGCTGGAAATGCTGCAGCAGGTCACCACTGCCCTCATCAATAGTGACCTCACAGACTGCGAGCAGAGGTGAGGGAAACGTTGACCATGCCCCACTACCCTGCAGGAAAGGAGACTTTGCTTACGAATGCCAGCTCTCTCGGGGCGCCACATGACATCCAACGCTCACTTAGTATGGGGTGCTTTTTGTGAGAAGGGCCGGAGAGATGGCAAGGGTCAGAGTACCATGTGCAGTAGGCCCCCAGAGCGGTGCTTTTAGGTTGGGCCCCGAGCCCTGGCCTGGGGGTCGCAAGAGGACAGACAGCCGTGTCTCTGACATTCGGAAGGCCTGCTGTCACGGTTCCCAAATGGGCTGGGCACCCCGGGCACTTTGCTTCCTCGTGGTGAGAGTTCCAGGAAGGAAAGGTGGCTGAGCGGTACTTCTTCAAGGGCGGCAGGGACGAGGGCGCCGCCAGGGGGTCTTGGGAGTCTCTTCTAGTTGTACTTCTCCAGAGACAAGAGTGGCCTCTGCCGAGAGCAGACTGCCACATAGCCCTCCCCAGTCACGTTTCTGCCACGGTGCCTTTGAGAGATGCATCACAGACTGGCCTGTTTGTCTGTCTGGGATGATTGTCATGTTAGGGATGCTGATACGAAAGCTGTCTTTCGGTGTCGTTTTCGCCTCAGTAACATTGCCTGTCGCCGCCGTGTGCCTAGGATTGGGGACTGAGAATAGTATTACCCAGACAGGTGTGGTGAGGACCAGTAGAGGGGAGTGTAGGTGGACTAATGGAAGCGTGGAGCAACCTGCATGGAAGTACTGAGAAGGTTGGTCTGATGTGGGAAGTGTCACCCGACAAGATGTACTAACATTCGAGGGGAGCCTAACAGGCTGTGTTCCCCAGAAATTAAAGGAAACCAACCACGTGGGTCCGCCGTGGCCGCGGTGCAGCTCTGTTGTGGAGAGACATGTAGTCGGGGTGGGAACCTGGGTGATGGGCGGTTTCTCCGGTTGCAACAGCACAAACCTAGTGGTCACAGAGTCAACATAGCCCCGGGAGACACCTGCCCCCCTCCCCAGCCCACGGCCCCCTGAATTCCTGTGGCAGAGGATGCAGATAGTAAGAGCGTGGTTTTCAAAGAGAAATGTTTAATCTGCCTGTCTCTATCTCCCACATCAAGCTCACTTTCTCTAAGCCAGAAGCGAGGTTCACTGCTCTGGGCAGACCTCACAGTGTGCGGGCAGCTCACTGATGTAAAGCCCAGGGGAAGCCCTTGCAGGGCGTCCCCACCCAGAGTAGGTAGTTCCATATTAGGACCCATAATAAAGTGCCTTGAAGGTGTTAGGAAACGCCGCTCTGGGGGAATGTTGCTGGCAAGTCACAGGTGAACTCTATCGGCAGGTGTCCAGTGGCTTCCTCTTCCTCAGTGGTGGAAGTAGGGTGGTTTGGGGACTAGATTGTTGGAGGTTTAAGTGCTTAGCTAGTTCAAGGAGATTCCGTTTAATAGAATCTGTCAGGTCAAGACGACTCTAGTTGTTCTTTTAACATGCCTAGAAATTGCTGTGTTGGTTTGATATTTCATTCTTTCCCTTTGGTAGGTTAAAAGGCTTGGAGCAAGTTACTAAGGCCACTATGCTAGGTCATCTTCTCCCAGTGCTGCTGACCTCCCTGATGCATCCGAACTTACAGACTCTGACCATGGCTGATGCCCTGATGCCTCAGCTAGTGCAGCTGGTCCTCTATACCAGTCAGGTACGGCCAACCCCCTGCTCGGAGCCCCGGTCAGCGAAGGTAGGGCCAACACACCGTACCTTTCTGAAACCAAGGGCTGATTGAAGAACTCTACCGTCGCCTCAAAGATGAGCTCGGATAGTTACGGGAGAGCACTTTTGCCTGTTTGACTAAATGCCATGTTGCCATCGTTTAGCCAGTTGCCATCGTCTGTCTCCTAGCTCTGCTTAGAAAGGCTGACGTAGGATGTGTCCCTGCGGCCCTCACACGACAGCTCGTCTGCTGAATCCCTGCCAGCTAGTGGGGCTCACAGAGCTGAAGGGCTTCATGCAGTCCAGCAGTAAGGAGCACGCGAGGGCTCTAAGTGGCCGAGCATTTCCTTATGAAGGAGGGCCGGCGCCAAGTGTAGAAAGATTGTTTAAGTGTCCAAGTTGAGGGTGATTAGCTGCCAGCTAAGGGTCATTGCTGTAAATGACGTGACGACGGTTTCGTGTTTCAGACGGCTCTACTGCTCAAAACCCAGTCTCCAGTCTTTGCTGACGTGGGCTGCTCCCCGCGTGGTGCCCCGGACCAGAAGGGCCGGCTGTTCCCCGATGAAAGGTGATGGAGAACCTCGTCTTGCCCTTTTGAACCTCCGTCTTTGACTGTGCTCGCTTAGCCGACTAGGAAAAGGAAGGGATTCAAAGAGCCAGATGTTACCGAGACTTGTGGAATGGCTTTGTCGATTTATAGACACTGGTCAACAACATTTCCCCCACAGAGCTGGGAGATTAGTTCAGAATTGACCGGAAATTCTCAAATATCAGTGGTGGGATATGAAATGTTAGGATTTTCAGAAGCAGTTGGACCATTGTTCAAAATGTTCGTGTGATCCAACTCTTCTACTGCTAGGCATTTACCAAGAGAAAAAAGGGGCCTAGACGCTTACTAAGGCTTGAACATGAATATTCACAACAACGCTAGTTGTAAAATCCCCAAGCCCTAAACATCTCCATACTGGAAATAATCCAAATAGCCATTAATAGGTGACTGGAAAACACTGTTGTGTTATATCCACACAAAGGAATCCCAACTCAGCAGTGCAAAAGGAATGAATTATTCATTGGTATGTTCAACCAACACGGATGATCTTAAAGTTCTTGTGCTAAATCATAGAAGCCAGAGCCAATAGCCAAAAAGTAGAGACAACCCAAGTGTCCATCAGCAGATGAATGGATAAATAAAATGTGTGCATTCTTAAAGTGGAATATTCGGCCATAAAGGGAAATCATGTGATATATGCTATGACAGGAGAAAGACAAGGCTTTCTGCTCCCATACAGAGTGACAGTCTCGGAAACTCACAGGGGCGCTTCTGCCCTGTCCGATAGGGTCACTCTAAGCTGGAATTGACCCGGTGACAGGGAATGAGTGGATGAGCGAGTGAGTGGATGAGAGTGAATGAGTGAGTGATGCTACACCATGAATGAACCTTGAAAACACTCAACGAGGTGGAATAAGTCGGATGTAAAAGGACAAGAACTGTATGCTTCCACTTATAAGATCTGGAATAGGAAATGCTTACCAGTGATTGTAATGCTTACCACGGGGGCAGAGGCAGGGAGGAATTGGAAGGCACTCAGCATGTTTGGAGTGACAACAATTGGTTTTAGGAAATGGCACTGATGGTTACCCCAACATAGTGAATGTGACTAACGTCACTGAATTGCGTCCTCAAGGCGGGTGAAATGGCAAGTCTCCAGTGATGGACAAGGAAACCAAGAAGCAGCAGCTCGATTCCTCCCACTCTCCCGTACACCAGTGGATACCACATATCTCCATGTATAACAGCAGTGGATACCATATATCTCCGTGTATAACAGCAGTGGATACCATAGATTTCCATGTATAACAGCAGTGGATACCATAGATTTCCGTGTATAACAGCAGTGGATACTATAGATTTCCATGTGTATCCAACTCATCTCTAGTGACAGCAAGCAGATGCGCGGCTACCTGTGAGGAGAAAGAGCACTTTCAGGAGATTTCACAGACATATGTGCATCATTTCTAATAATGTCAGCATCGTCTCCTTAAAGTGTTCTATTTAAATATTGACGAGGAAGGAAGGAAGGACAGTTCAGGGTTTCTTTAGAGCAGTGATCCTCAGTTGAACTTTCCACTATGAGGAACAGCTGTGGTCTGGTCCAACATGGTTAGCTATAGCCGCGCATTTTTTTGTTCTTTTTTTTACTGATTTTCTAAATTTTGAATTAGTTGGAGGGGGTTTGCATTGCAGATCACATCAACTCATCACCCCCTGCCCCATGTATTCTGTCCCATCCCCCCACCCCCACCCCCACCCCCAGTGTCTCTTCTCCCTAATGGACCCCACCCTCCCTTTCCCCATCCGCCTTTAGTTCCCTGCCTTATCCTCCCACCCTTCCCTACTCCCTTGGAAGCCTCCAGAATCTGTTCCCATTGGTATACAAAGCCTGTGTCTCGTTTTTCATCTTTATAGCAGTGGTCTAATAATACTCTATTTGTCTTTGGTGACTGACTAAATTCACTCACCATAATGTTCTCCAAGTCTACTGTGTCATGAGGTGCTCAGTGGTTTCATCTGCTGGTTTTTCAGTGAGGCACAGGGTTCCCGTGTGTGTGTGTGTGTGTGACACTGTCTTGATCGAGTCCTCTACTGAGGTGCATGCCCATGTTCATCACAGCACCGTTCATAACAGCAAGAGGTTGGGAACCGCCCCAAGCCCGTGTCTGCGCATGTCGGGCTCTAACTTCTATAGCATATGTTCCAGCACAGGTATTTCTGGGTCGAATGGACTCTCACCCGTTATTTTAGGTAGCACCATAGCACTGTCCACAGTGGTTGGACAGAGCCACGTAGACGTTCTCACTGAGCTCTCACAGTGGGGCTAGAGCAGTGGTTCGCAACCTTCCTCGTGCCGCGGCCCTTTCATACAGTGGGGACCCCCCCAACCATAAAATTATTTTTGTAAAAAAAAAAATTATTTTTGTTGCTACTTCACAACTGTCATTTTGCTACTGTTATGAATCATCATGTAAATATCTGATAGGCAGTATATGTTTTTATTGTTACAAACTGAACATCATGAAAGCATTGTGATTCATCACAAACACTATATGTAATTATATATTGTGAACTATTTATTTCTAATGACAAATACATGAAATTTTGTCCTGAAGCATGGTGCAGCATGGGTAACAGTCTTAATATAACCACAGTAAGCTACTACATCTTGTGACAGCATGTGTAAAAAGCCAATGTCAGTGCAAAGGTTGAGATAGGTTCTTTCTCACTGGATCAGCCTATGTGGGCAGACCTGCCTGACGGATAGAGCAGCCATATCTCGGTTCCTAAGACCATCAGAAGTAGGTGTTTTCTGATGGTCTTAGGCAACCCCTGTAAAAGGGTCATTCAACCCCCAAAGGGGTCTCGACCCACAGGTTGAGAACCGCTGGGCTAGTGCAACCGAGAGACTGAAGCATGCTGCTTGCTTGTTTGTTAGTTTGTCACTTGTGACCTGTAACAGAAAGGAGGAGCTGAACGGTTCCTTTGAGCTTGTTCACGTTGACGTGACTGCAGTGGCGCCCCTGCAGGGAAAGGGTGGGCGCGTCCTCGCATGGTGAAGGTGTCACCAATGACTGTGGTCAGGTTGTGTCCACGTGATTGCATGGGAACCCGAACCTCCGTGCAGACCTCACTGAACACGCCACAGAGTCTTATTTCTAAGAGCACTGTCGTGGTCACATGCGACTGGCAGCTCCCTTTAGGACCGTGCAGCCGTGGAGCCTTCTCAGTGACAGAAAAGAGCGCATAGCTATGCTTAGTCTGTAGGGGTTTGCACTCCACCACCTGGACGGCGAAGGCCTCCAGAGCCCATTGACAGGAGGTGAGGGCGGACCTTTGAAAGCATTGTCCCACAGGAAATATCCCACTGGCAGTGCTTGCTGCCGCATCCTCTCGGAGGCCCCCACGGGCCTGGCAGAGAGCAGCAGAGGAAGGTTCTGAGGGCAGCCATCCCGTGGGACTGGACGGGGCCAGGCTTCAAGGTCCAGTGCAGTATCTTTGTGAGCACTGGTAGATCCTGTTCTGTACGACTGGACTTCCCCCCACCCCCTCCGACCTCACCCCCCCAAAAAACAAAGCAAAACTCCCTTCCACGGAGTCCATTCTGACTCACAGTGACCAGGTAGGACACCACGGAACTGACACTGTGGGTTTCTGGAGCTGGGACTCTTGGTGGGAGTAGAAAGCCTGTTTTGCTCCCGTGGAGCTGGCTGGTGGTTTCAAACTGCTACGCTTATGGTCAGCAGCCCAACATGTAACCATTCCGCCACCAGGACTCCTTTCCCCAAGAAAGAGGAAAGCATGTAAATAGTGTCTAACAGCAGACGGGAAAAGACAAGCACAAACTCTCCAAGAGAGGGATTTTGAAAGCGTTTCTGGTCGCCTGGCATTGAGCCCCCACAATGCTTTGACGGTGTGTTATGGGAAAGTAAGGCGCAATTCCTTACCCTGTGGTATGCTCACATGGGCCCACTCTGTTTGGGCCTTCCTCACTGCGCCCAGCCGAATCACTCTCTCACCCTCCGGTTTCAGAATGCTGGAAGAGAAAGAAGAGCCAGGCTTTCTCACCGGCTTAAAGATTCCCGCCCCGTGGGCTGCTGGGAAGACGGTGGAGACGGTGCACCCTGTCAGAGACAACTATAAATTTAAAGAAACGGTCCACATCCCCGGGGCTCGCTGCCTGTACCTTAGATTTGACAGCAGATGCTCGTCACAGTACGACTATGACAAAGTAAGCAAGCGCCAGTGCACTCTTGGTCCACCGCTAGTCGGCGGGTTTCTGACATGCTTCTTTGTTTTGCTTTGCTTCCGGGCCCCATTCTCCACTTACTTCCATCTGCAGATCCCACTGCGGAGAGCTTCCCTCCGAGGATGTTGATACCTTGATGGGCACTGCGGGAGGGCGTGACAGAACCACCAGTCTTACCAAAAGACACGTTGAGAGTAGACTGTACCCTAAGTTCTCAGAAAAGAAAGCCCCCAACAGCAGAGCTCTGAGTCGAAGGAACGCTCCTTTTGTGGCATCTTGCCTCCCCTGGGCCTGGAGCTCTGCAGGTGTTTGCTGTCCATTCTTACAGGAAGACCGTCCTGGAGGCTTCCCGGGCACCTGTCACAGGAGGTGGCCATGCAGACGGGTAGCGGCTGTCCCCGCTTCTGCTCTTTGTCTCCCTCAGCCTTCTGGTCGTGCCCGCCACTCTTTCTGGGCCCACACAGACCCTGGGAAAGAGCACTTTCCAACCTGGTGGCTTCACAGTTTTACATAGAAGGACATGTTACGGGGGTGGAAGTATTTCTTTGAATGCTTTATTTCTAGTTATTGCTGAGTATCTTTGATTTCTCATCATGAGGGCTTATGAGGAGAGGTTAAAGAAAGTGGGTTAGGTAACTAGGAATGGAAAACTGGAGGATTATTTAATAGCCCCCAGACGATGGAGGATTATTTTATGTAGATTATTAGCTACCGGGGATATCTTTCCTCCAGAGCTATGTTAAGGTCCAATGGCCCCAGGGGAGATGTTTAGGTTAAAAATCAAGATCTTCCTAGTTGTGCATAATAAGAAACTATTAAGATTCTCTTTCCCATGATACTTTAGGATAGGGGAGATTCCCACATGTCTAGGAGTGTGTAAGACTTGCGCCCCAAACTTAACCATAGATGAAGGCAAAGAATAGCGCAGATG